TGGTGAGTTCCCTGGAACACCGGGGACACATATTCATGTATAAAAGACGTACAAAAGTGCATTTTGCATGATAGGTCACCTAAATATTAAATATGAAATAGTTTCAGGTTTCATCAAATGTTGAGTCAATGGAGTATTTTTTGGGAAACATTACATTAGTGAAGTGTAAATGTGCGTGCATCCTTCAGTGGTTCATCATTAAAAGGTGGTGTACATTTGAAGTACTACATTTCTGTTATGACTTGTAGATATAAAACTAGTTTGACTTTGTGTGTTGCTCTTGCAAAGATTGAATACAATGTCTTTCTTTATTTATTAAAAGCAAAAAAAGGACAAAATAAACAAGAGAGACTCCAACCCGCTTGTAATGTATTATTTCCGCCTATATCTCAATAATTTGAGTACTTCTCTCACTTTATAATGCACTGTAATGGGATTATAAGTAGTAGCATTAAGTGAAACAATGAATATGTAATACAATCTATGGGAACTATAGTATAATTTGATCCGTGTAATTAAACGAGACCTAAAAAGTCATTCAATGCTTGATAATGTTTTATGATCATTGTCACAAAACATTATTGTATCATCACACAGCATTAGGCAGTTTTATAAGCAGATAACCCATTATAAGGATGTGTATACCCCATCATTTATAGACATAGAAACTAACTTTCAATCCATTGTCTTTGTCTCAGCATGTCCCTCCCTCAGAAAAAAAACACTTGAGTATTTGTTAGTTTCCCAAGGTCATCTGCCTGTTTTCTAACATGTGCGGCGTGCTGACAGTCTGACCTGCTGAAGCCGGTCAGGGTGAGAGCTCCGCGGTTGCCGATCCAGGACAGGTTGAGCCTCTGGAGGAGAGTGCAGCGGCTCTGCAGGTGTCCCAGGGCGGCGTCACTCAGCCGGCCCCAGTAGGGCTGCAGGCTCAGCTGGGTGTACTGCAGCGGGTCGCAGCAGTGCTGGTGCAGCAGCTTACAGCTCTGGGCCAGACGGCAGAGGTCCGGCAGGGTCAGGTGGCTCAGAATCAGCTGGATGAGCTGTGGATGGAAGATGGGGAGAAAGAGGATAAGGTTATGGAAAGAAAAGGCAAAAAAAAAGAGACAGGAGAGACAAAACACAAGACTGTTATGTCTGTTAGGAGAACACAGCACAAACCAAAGAGAGGTAGAACCTAGTAGAGAATAACAGAGAAGTCTAGAGAATGTCAAATAGTGTTTATCTGGGACACAAAGCACTGATAGCAGGATCAGTGGAGAGGTGAGCCGGTTTGTTTTGCACCGTGTTCGTGTTCCCTCTCAAAGAGAAAGAAGGATTGTGCGAGTGTGTGTTGCAGTGATTTAACAATACACGGTGTTCAAGCGAGTATCAGCTGACAGATAATAGCTATATTGTGTTTCTGAAACAAACACACGGCGGTTGTGAAGACTGCTGTTAATGGCAGCGGTTTGGAGAGGAGATAAGAGAAGGAATATCAAGAGAGCTGCCGGTGTTTTGAAGCTCGTTTGAAACAACATGATACGTGTGCGTGGCATGGAAATGACTGAGTCCATGATTGCTTACGATATCAAGTTTCAACAGGTCCGAGCTACAAAATGCACGTGTTTTCTTGGAATACTGGTTATTATGGTGTACATGTGCACTCTGGCGCAGGTATAATGATTGTAGGGCTTGCTGTTGCTAATGATCTTGGGTTTTATGGCTGAAACTAACGCCGTGCAGGTAATGTTGTACCCTGCCATCGTTTGACACTATTCCTTTGATCTATAGGTGGCAGTAACATGCAAAGAAATGCTGCAAGGCACCAACAAAGGATGTAAAGAAGAAGATTGCAATCTGGTCAACATGGATGTATACAATGCAGAGCCAAAAGCCGCTTTGCAAAGGATTTATGAGGAAGGATAAGCATTGAACACGTTCGTTACAGCTCAAGAAAACTGATGTTTGACACAATACTCCAAAGGGCACTTTTAATGACAATCACTATTATTAATGTGGGTGACAGTAGAATGGTTTGACATCAATTAAAGCTAAATTATCTATGGAGGCACAACATAACCGAATATTTATTGGTAAAAAACCGCGAAATAGGCCTTTTGTGTAAAAAAAAAAAACATTACTAATCCCTAACACAAGCTTGAGAATCTATTAGGAACTGCAACTTTAAAAGAAAAAATGATATACTCATTAAGGACCACATTTTTACTTCTGATGTTAATATCATTTTTTAAATTCTATTTTATTTCATGTTTAATTAGACATTTTACTTTATAATGTGTATATACATATTTTTATTGACTTTATGTTATCTTTTGATTGCACATTCTTACCTTTACTTCCTATGTTTATATTAATATTTAGTCTTTTATTTTTCATTTGACTCATTCTAAATGGAGTGGCACAAAACCTAATTTCCAAAGGGAAAAGTAAAGTATTGTCTGAGTCTGATACTATATCCGTAAAGTCTGGGATCACCTCATAAGGCAGTTTGTCAAAGTAGCCGTTGCCTGTCCTCTTGGCCTCCCCTCCTTGTCTGAATGGACCTCCCAGATCAGACAGCTCCTCCTCGCTGTCACTCAGGTCGTTAATATCGATGATGGGCATCTTATAGCGGGCCAGCATGGGCCTCTCTTTCACCCCCCGCAGGATGACAGCATCCAGCTCCGTGTAGTAGTCCAGCAGAGAGCTGTTGACCTCTATTCGCAGCAGGTTGGTAGGGAAGTTGATGTGCTTGATGTTGGGGGAAAACTGGCGGGCCTGGGGGGTCAGCACCTTGGTGGGCTCCCCTGACCACAGCACCTCCCATCTGGAAAAAGAGAGTTGTACTGTGAAGCCAAGTGGATTAAATGTTTCCCCCCCTGAAAATTGGCATGTCACTTTAGTCTCAGATTTTGCCAATCTGCTTCCCAGTATCCAGTCCTCTCTTGGTCCCTTAAGAATGAATATGGAAACAAATGTCAGGAACCTGGAAGAGCTTTTAGACACCAACCTCACCTTTTAAGAGAGCCACTCACAGGTTTATCCATTCATGAATACCATCTCAAAAATCAGCTGTGTTTTAATGACGATCAAACCATCATTCATGCTTCTATTTCCTCACAGTTGGAGTATTGTAATGGTCTTTTAACGAGTACAACAATCAGAAAACAATTAATAGACTTAAAAGACAATGTGTGCAAAATGCGGCAGCAAGCCTCCTCACATTACTCCAATTGTAATGACCGTACACTGGTTGTCTATTTGTTTTAGTATTGATTTTAAGATTTAACTTAATTATTTAAAGCCCTTTCTGGCTTGGCCCTAAAATATATATCAGTGATTGGCTGTCGATGGTGCTGCCGGAGGTACTCCTGCTGCTACAGCTCTATCTTCCTTTAAATAACTAAATTCTTTCCAGATGGTTTTACTATTGGTTTACTTGTACTTTGTGTGATAAAAAAAAAAAAAAGCATCCTTGGGTTTCTTGAAAGGCGCTATAAAAATAGAAATTATTATTATTATTATTATACTCTATGTTGATGATGAAGAACAATTCAAAAATACATGTTTTTTCTTTTTCCATTGCTTTCTTTCTTTTTCCAGTATTATTGTGTATTTGATTGTGTTTTTTGTGTTAGTTGTAAGACTGGTTGTGATAGGTGTAATGTAAATATTATTATAATTACGATTATTCATAAAAGCTTCACTGATTGCCGGTTCCCGACTGCTAAAGGAAAATCAATGGTCAGTGTTGAACTACTGTAGCTCTCTAAAAAAACGTCTATGTAGGACAATGACCTTGTAATTCTACTCAGTGCTCCAAATGCTGTCATGGTGCTACAATCAGGAGCAATGTTTAAAAAATACATTTATCAAAAATGATTATCGTATGCTGAATGCTCAAAAGAGAGAAGAGTTTAGAGACAATTCATTTAATACATGTTCAAAAAACATATTAAAATATAAATAAATCTTTCTCTACCATGACAAAATTTGCTTGGAAAAAATATAGCTACAATTAATATAACTTAGTCACTTAAACCCATGATTAGATGTGGATTGTGGAATACAGAGATGTGGTATAATTCAACAAATAACAAATAAAGAAATGGGATTAAAGGGATTTATCCTTCAACTGCTGTGCCAGAATACACACCTCAAGGCAGTGCGTCTCTGCCAATGTAATACAAGTTGGCTTCTAAACGTCGCTGCTGGTTTGTAGCCAATACTGATTTGATGGGGTTGGTTGCACAAAAGTTAATACTTTCTTTACCTGGTAGTTTTTCCACAGAACCTCAGAGGGTCACCAAAAATCTAATTCATATGCATCCAATTATTGATTTAATAATTGGAAAGAAACCCCGGTCAAATAATACAGTTTTACTGAAACTTCAGGCTTACAATTGTGCCTCTTAGTTTCACTGTCAGATAGACACTGCTCGAGGTGAACCAAATTCCTAAGGTAGCCATAAACATTATTTAAAAGAGCACTTTCCATAACAACACAATGTCCTATAACAAACAAAGGAAAAGAATGAAGTAAAGCTAATTTGATAAAGAATACAAATGTCAGGTATCAATGAACGAGCATAACAATGCAAGTAATAAATTATTATTATTATTCAAATAAGGCTAGAAATGTCTCCATTGTAAATTCATGAAACGAGAAGACTAGCTCTCACTTCAAAGTTGTGCTTACCTGCTGGAATGTCTTTTTGTGTTAATCAACTACAGACTACTTCATTTCATTGTGCAACTGCGTGTTGTAGAATAGCAATAAATGAACTTTGATTTAACATTTTATTGCAGCACTGATACTGATGGTTTCCTCTTTACCTGACATCAGTAGGTGGATTCTGGGAGAAGGGGTTGTGAGAGCAGGCCATAATTTGGACGATGGCTCCAGGATAATAAGTCTCAAGCACATCCACTGCTGTAGGGTAGACAGGCTCCTCGAAGCCCAGTTCAATATAATCCTGGCTGTGGAAACCTTTGGGTGTGCGGCGAAAAGGTGGTGGAGCGCTGGCACATTGTTCCCACCACTTCCCATAGGCTCTGAATACAGCCGTCTGAGTGAAGTCCCCTGAGCTGGGGTAGACGTTGGGGACCCCGGCCAGGTTCCACATGGTGTACGACATGCTATTCTCACTGCCATAGTGGGAGCTGAAGTCCAGAACCTCCTTGGCATATTGCTCCACCTCAACACTGACCGGCAACACCGCCCGCTGGCCCGACTCCACGGCCCGCCGACTGGTCAGAGCCTCCCCTCGAGTCCCACTCCTGGAGCGGCGCCGCAGACAAATATAGTAAAACATGCTCATGAGGGTTAACATAGGGAACTCTGGGCTTGAAGGGGGCCGTGAGTAGAAACGGAGCCTAGGGGAGGAAGAGCCTCCACCTACTGGAAGGACACTGGCTCAAGGGGGTGTACAAAGCGCAGGCTAGGGGTCCGGCTGCATGCATGACCTGTGGGTTAGGCAGAAACAAACACAAGTTAGAAGAACACAAAGACAACAGGTCCTAGGTAGTACCACAGAGTAGAATGCTTATTGATTCTGAATCCTAACTTTTTCACAAAATAGAAGGATAGAACAATGAAAGAATGTTTGCCACACCTAAGGCTAAAAACCCTAAATAGCTAACCATTAATGGAAGCATTACAAAACATAGAACAACCTAAAACTAATGTAAACCAACAGACCCATTTTGGGCTTTGGGCACTTACAGATACCAATTTCAGAGGCTCATGGAGAGTGAAAGTAAAAGTTATTAATTGACAGGCACATTGCGTCCTACTGTCATATCAAACGCCTGGCAATAGTGCAGTAAATGGTGACACACCCTCTCTACAGCTGCCACAGCAACCAAATCATCAAAAGTAAGCTCCAGCTAAAATAATGTCCATTTTGTTTATCAATGACCTGTCCTCATGATAGGCAGGGATTTCTGCTTAACATGAGGGCACATTTATCAGGTCAAACTGGAAATGTATCAGGTCAAACTGGAAACTCGAGGTATTGAGTCGGACACCCATGCTATAAATGTGTTTTAGTTACATTTCAGTTACATTTGGAAATACTTCAAAAAGGATGGGATGCTGATATCAACAAAGAAGCAGTTCTAATATAACATCAGAACTGAACTAAAGTGGATAGACTGGTCTTAAAAATACTGAGCCAACACTTTATACATAATAAATGTTTGCAAATAAGTTATATCTTTAGCATGAATGCTTTTATGAGCATTGAAATTAAAAAAGTTATAATGTCACACCAAGCATTTTGGGTTGGTCGATATTAAGTTTGCTTAATCAATACTACTGAGACATGGCTTTGTTGTTCACCATTTACCGTCAGGTACGGCTTAAAAAGGTAATTCCATCTTCTTGTGAACCACTTAACTAGCTAAAACTACCTACCGCCAAATGTGCACATTTAGAAATGTTTATCCAAATTGTCCTTAAGCCTTGGTAACTCTAAAGACATTTCCTATTTTAGGTACAATACAGTATGAGGAACTATCGTTACCACGTATACACTGTTGCTTTCTGAAGCACATCATTCAGAAAAAACACTAAAATGAATATCCCTAATGTAACATTAGATGGAGAGATGAGCTGCTTCCCACTGTTTGATTTTTTGTTATTTTTAAACTGCTGGTATTAGTTAGCTAGCTAGCTAGGAAACGTTAGCTAGTTAGCTAGCTAGCCTACAGACAAGCTGAGCTGTCAAAACACAAACATTAGATTACGTAGCTAGCTTAGCCAAACCGCGCAGTCAAGAGCACGGGAAAACACAATTAAATTACGGTAAACGTAGGTCGATATATCCATTCGTGAGGAAGGTTTAATCCTCTTCTTTCTTTAACAGGATATTTTTAAAAACACAACAACATTCCTGCCGTTTACCTTGTGATGCCTTCCAGGCCAGTCGGACAATGCATTCACTTACTGAGCGCACGTCATAATAAACCATATAACTGGAATATAATGGTGGATTTATCGAAGTATGTGTGGTATCTAGTTTTTGACAGCTTATATTTACTGAATAAGGAGCATATCGGCAACGGTTGTGTCGTCAGCTGAGGTTAAAACCATTATTAATGCGGAACTGCCATTGTATCGACTAAATTGCATCCTGTCGCGTTAAATAGCTGAATGTCAAACAGATTGCAACTTAAGAGAAAATGTAACATGTCTATTTTGGCAATTTTGTTCAAATTGAGCGACTACATTCATGGATTTTATATTAAGGCAATAAGTTACTTGGAGCTACGTAGAACATTAAAAGCCGCATCACTTCCGTATAATATACACTATCAACATCCGGTCCAAGGCAAGGCAAGTTTATTTATATAGCACCTTTCAACCTCAACACAAGGCAATTCAAAGTGCTTTACAAAAATGAAAACATTAAGAGCATTAAGAAATAATTTGCTTTCACACACTCATGCAGCTTGCTACTCATGGACCCCATCTGTAGTCACCTGAGTCAACAACAAAAGGTATTTTAGTAGCCTATTTCTACCATCACTTATACAAAGATAGTCATACGTATGATTGATAGATAGATATCAATACTACTCACGTCAAATGTCTTAATCTCGATATAAGCACTAGCATTCATACAGTAGTCATTCAACTCAAATTGTAAAAATGAATTGTAAAATATATGATTTATACAAAAACAAAAGGTCATTTCTGTAGGCCGACTAGTATTCCAAATGAGCCTCACTTGTTAACAGGTTAAAAATAAGGAATGTGTAAGTTAATATGTTACTTGAGAAGTTAAAATGAATTTAAGTTTAATTTGAATGATTTAACAAAAATCCAAAAAAGGCCAACGTCACTGCCTCCTCTCCCTCTTTGCGAGTTGTATTTTTTTACAAGGTTCCATCTGCCCTGAGTTATAACTTAAAATGTTCTATGCTAAGTCAGGTCCATACTTATTCCACATGAAGTACATAACGTGTTCTTTAAAGAATACATATTTATAGCCTAGGCATACATTCTTTATGTACAGATGTAATATATGTTTCCCGTTTTTTACCCAGAGCTCTTATTTGACAGTTGATACTTTCATTTGAATACTACTTGTTTTCAACCCTGAAGAATAAAGTTGACATGGAAGACAAAGCCACATTTGAATTCCTTATTAAGCTCTGCAGAGCAAACCACAGGCTGAGAGAAAATGCCAGACTCAGACAGAGCCTGTGTCATTTTGACGCTGACAAGTTGTCAGGAATTCATATTAAACAAACATCCAAATGTCACTGTTGGTTTACTGAAGGTTGTTAAAACAACAACAACATTCCATATTACCACAACTTGGTGTAAAAGGGCTCTCGAGGAACATGTTTTGCCGGTTATATTAAGCATGTGAGTTACTCTGCTTTCTTGAGGAGTTTGAGTAAAGCAAGTGATGTTCTCTTGCCAATAATTCCTACACACAAAAAAAAAAGCAGCACTTAAAGAGTTTGAACACTATCGACTGTACAAAGTCGATTTGGATAAAAGCATCAGCGGCATGACATGTAATGTAATGTTGTATAATGTACATGGTAATTAATTAGTTTTCTTTTTTGTTCAATAAATCTATTTATTATGAAACGTATTACCCAATTTAATAAATACATACATGTTCTCTTACCTGGATTGCTTTACTGTATATCAATCTAGGTGGTTTGAGATAAAGGCTGTAGAGGTGTGGCCTTCTTCCTGATATAATGGAAGTAATTGGTGCACAAAGTGGCAAAAGAATACATTTGAAAAATTCAACAGCAATGTGTCTTTCCAGAAATAATGCCCTTGTTACTCAAGATAGTCCACAAACATTGTTCTAAGCATTTTCATGTAGGACATATTTTCGTTCACCTACAGTAAACTTAATCTGCTTACTACTGCTAAGCCAAGCAGGAAGTCCTACATCTTACAGTGTCATGAGCAAAACCCTATCGTCCATGAGTAGATGCATGTGTTCCTGATTTTAGGGTGAAGTGTCCATTTCATAATTTGGACTGGAGGGCAAAGGGATGTATTCAAATAAAAACATTTTGACCTGACCAACAGGAAAAATACCCAAAGGTACACAGTTAAAGTATGAAGAGTACGAAAGCAATACATAATACATTTCACATTTGGAAATCGCTAGCAGCCTTATTTGCCAAAACTTGATTTATTTTTAAAGGATAGAAAAACATTTCTTACTGGCCAAATAATCCATTAAATATTTCTGCCAATGTTCACAGTACTCTGCATTCGTCATGATGCCACTTTAATTATAACAGATAGCTTAAAATGCAGATACAGGCTAATTAAATCAATAAATAATGCTAATTTGATCTGAATATGCATGCTGTCGTGTTGTTTCTAGTGGTGCATTAACTTTAATGGTTGTAACATTAACATTTCCCAGATATTTTGGAAAGTATTGTTGTTTTGTTGCTAGCATTCTAATTGAAAGTTGTCTGTGTTAAAAGCCTCTTCTCTGCAGCCTCTGACCTCCCCTGTGACTTCATCCTACCCAAACCCTCCACCCACAGACCAGGGCGACACCATGTGATACAAGATTGTGAACGTCAGCTCTACACTGTAGATTCAAGCAAAAATACCAATCTGTGCTTGCAAAATGTCTCTAAATGCAGGTATTTCAGGTTATTGTGGTTGGGAACCATGGCTTGTTTGTACAGTTCAGTTGGAGCTAATAAAATATTTGATCATTAAGAAAAACAAATCCTTATGTCTCGAGAAAAAAAAACATAGAAGATAGAGCTAGAGCTGATGGAGGCTCTCTCCAATGCCAATAAATACAAAGAGCCAAAGTTATTGGTGATTTTAGAAGTAACTTGTTCTCCTGGGATACTACTGTAACACAAGGGCAGCAATCCCATGTCATCGGTTTAACAAAGCACACACAGATCTTAGCTTTCATTGAATCCAACCAGCTGTTGTAGCTATAAAGTATTGCAACAGATTCTTTTCTGGAGACACAAAGAGAACTACCACTTCCACAACTTCTGTCACCGATTAAATCGGGATAAGCAAAAGTGAAATAAACGTGGACAAATATGGCTGTTCCTAAGTCCAAAAAAAACGTAAAAGGTCATTTTATTTTAGAGATATAGTTTGTAATTAGACATGTCTCAAAATAGTACTCATTATGTAACTTTGAAAGCACAGTTATACCATTGAACTCTACTTCGTTAAATACATTAGACAGTTCAATCATTGCTTTTGTCCAAAATAAATCAAGAACGAAATGATATTGGGTTTCATTTTAGGCCTCAAGGCAGTAACAACAGGCAAAGTAAAAAAAAAAAATGTTTATATACACACTCTCAATCAAACACACACACACACACACACACACACACACACACACACACACACACACACACACACACACACACACACACACACACACACACACACATGGTCCCATTGTGGCTGACATTTGCATAGATGAATGACTGAGGCTCTGCTGTCAAAACCAAAAGAGCCAAGCGTCTCCACAGACCTGCGGGCAACCAATCACGTGTCCGGATCTCATTAGCAGGCATCCATTGTGGGTGACAGGAGGAGATAATTACCTTTGACTACAAGAGCTCTTGGTCTCTTCATCCCAATGGCAAAAATGCCTGTCATAGAGACTGTGGTACGCTTTGAAGATACAAAATACACCCAAGGAAATTTGTCTTTTTTTGATTGGAGACATGTCCATGACTTGCAAGATGCGATAGCTGAAGTAAGAAATATTTAGATTCTTCAATTTGTTCAAAGCAGTTAACACACTGGGACGCATTGCAAGTCAAGATTCTACACTTAGATAAAATATGTGTAAAAAAGTAAAATGTTGTAAAAAAAGAAATTCTCATCATGCAGAGAAAAATTCTGTGTTTTAATTTTATGTATGATGTTTTTGTATTAATATAACTGCTGCAGATGTTAATGGCTGAGCTAATTAAACTCATTTAAATAGTATATATTATACTATATTTTTTAAGTTTCTGAAAAAAAGCTTTAATTGTTCAAACAGTGCTTTTATTTTTAGTCAATCCAAGATAATTTTTAACATGTTAATTTAGCTAAGAAGGAGAATATTCGCAATTCATAAGGAAAGATTTTAATCTTTTATTTTTTATCATAAACACATCTGGAGATACATGGATTTCAAAATAAATTGAGCTGTTGAGTTTTACCAAAAAAGAATATTCGTAGGCCTAAAAAGTTGCATACAAAATAAATACTTGAGTAAAGTACAACTATGTGAAATTTGAATTTAGGTACAGTATTTGAGTAAATGTTCAATACATTATTTGTATAATACTTTATAGTTCTTTAAAATGCTGAATAACCAGTTACCCTTTGACAACAATGTACTTAATCAATTCATTGGACTTGTTTCTACAAAAAAAGGACTAACTCACAGAATGGCATGTTTCATAGCAATCCCTGTAGTAGTTTTTCATCACCTTTTCTTGATTGATCTCTGTCTGAAACAGACCCATGCAGCTAAGACCATAACACAGAAGCACATCAGAGAAAAGGATGCAACGAACCAAACACACACACACACACACACATACACACACACACACACACACACACACACACACACAGACAGACAGACAGACAGACAGACAGACAGACAGACAGACAGACAGACAGACAGACAGACAGACAGACAGACAGACAGACAGACAGACAGACAGACACACANCCTGATTGGTGGAGTTGGCCCAATAGCCGTAGCGCCACTTCTGTGACGTCATAGAAGTGTTCAAATCTGGATCAGCCTGTATCAGATCCGTTGCAGCCAGTGGCTGCAACGGATCTGATACAGGCTGATCCAGATTTGAACACTTCTATGACGTCACAGAAGTGGCGCTACGGCTATTGGGCCAACTCCACCAATCAGGAGGAGACAGCCACGGACATTGCCGTTCGAAAGCGCTGGAGACGCTGTAGTACATATGCCAGGCCTGTAGATGGTGCTGTTCTCACAGAATCAGCCCATGAAAAGACAGTGTTAAATTGAGCGAAATGAGGAATGGCTAAAATGCATGATCTGTTTGGTATTTTGAAAAATAAAAAGTATAAATATGCCTTATATAGGTATGGTCCTACACTATATTATTCAAATATAGCATGATAGGTCCACTTTAACTGTATTTATACATTTCACTTTTATGTGAACATTAATCAAAAGTGACTGAAAAGTGAAAAAGGGTTATACTACTACTACTATATACTTTGGTCCTGGCAACAAAAAGATATGTGAGTCACCAGCATATGTAGAGTATTATAATGCTTGACCTTGTGAGTAAATATACCTTGCTTTGGGTATTTTTCCTGTTGGTCAGGTCAAAATGTTTTTATTTTAATACATCCCTTTGCCCTCCAGTCAAAATTATAAACATTTATAATTTATAACTATAATTATAGAGATTATAGCACATTATTACATGGCTTAGTTGAATACTCGATTCTGATTGGTCAATTCAGAACACGTGACACGTTGTTAATACCGAACAGACAGACCGCTGTCAAGGACTTATTGACCGTTGTTAAGGACGCTCACATCTGCACAAACAAGTCCGTTCGATTTAACTGTATACAGTTTGGCCGAAAAGCAAACTGCATGCAACTTCATGCCGATCTAGATCCCTCCGCTTCGCGTCGGGCTCCTGATCAGCCTGTATGTGTTCNCTCGTTCCCCCCCCCCCCACACGTAGAGTGGAGCATGGCAGTACGAAACTAAATTAATATAGTCAGTCATTTTACGACGCGCGCTATGCTGGGCCCGCCTTGTGGTGTTTCCGACAATGTAGTTTCAGTAAATTAAAGGGTGTATTCATGTTGTCGCTTGCTGGAACCTTCTTAATACCTTGGAAAATGCCGTTTAATACTTTGTTAATAGTCCTTAATTTTCGCTAAAAAAATTGATTTATACAACTTTATACTTTTAATACTCCCGCGGACAGGTTTGACATAATGAATTGTGCTACTTTTAAAGCAAGCAGCGATGTTTTCAAATCTGTAATCAAAAAGCTCCTCAAAAACGCTATCGAAGCAGTTCCTGCCGTTGCTACGTTAGTTCAAACGGTAACAACGGACTATTTTTCTTAGCGGATGCATGTCAATTTAAATCAATACTACATACAAATCAATAAAATCATTTTCTAAATCCATAAAAGCATTTCAATTAATAGTGGGAGTCATAACGTTACTTTGTTGAGAATGTGGCCATGTAATAAGCGGGATAATGTGCAGCAACTTGGTCATTATGAGGAAAAGAACACCTTCATGCCGATCTAGATCCCTCCGCTTCGCGTCGGGCTCCTGATCAGCCTGTCGGTGTTCTTTTCCCCATAATGACCGCGTCGCAGCACATTATCCCTTACTTATTAGTATTCTTACAATGACTTATAGACATGTGCGTCATAGGAAGTTTTACCAAGCTTTTTCAATAACGACAAAAATAAGATATTATGTAAAAGTCATATTGTCTAAAGTAGGGACATGTGCACTAGTATGTTGCTAATGAATGTATTCCTCTCCTGATTTCCCCTGTACATCTATTCCTCCCCTCAGCTTCATGAAGGCCTGCGGTCAGAGCCTGGGCTCCCTGGAGCTGTCGTGCTGCCACTTCCTGAACGAGCCCTGCCTGGAGGTCATCTCTCAGACGTGTCCCGGGCTGCAGGAGCTCAACCTGTCCTCCTGCGACCGCCTCCAACCGCAGGCCTTCACACACATCTCCAAACTGACACGCCTCCGCAGGCTGGTGCTCTACCGGACCAAGATAGAGGTAGGCGCGGTCAACAATGTATCTGGGAAACTTCTATCAAAGTGACATTTTAACATCATTGTCCAAATACAGCAGACTGTAGGATAGTTAATGATATGTTTATATTCTAAATGGTTTCCCTGTTTGTAATATGCAGGTTGCTTGTTTACCTTTTATACAAGCAAGGCTACATTTGTCTTATTTTGTTAGTCATTTTCCAGTATTGCCTAATATAGAGAAGATATCACGCTAGGAAGATTAATGAGAGGTTAAGAAAATCATTGAATGTTCTGGGAAACTTATAGAATTTTCTGAATTTTGCGAACATTATTCTGAGATTTTGTAGGACATCTCATCCGCATTGTCTTAAAATTAAGCAGTTCACCGTTTATTCTTGAGCATGGAAAGAGTAACTGATATACGTTGTTTTATGAAAATAGGCAGACCTCCTTTGCGGATGCCGTTTGGTTGAAAGCACTAGATTGAACATTTTTAATGTTGTATTTTACAATCTCTTTTTCTAATGTAGCAATTTATGTTCATACAGTACGTTTCCAGGTGTTCTGTCACCACTATTTAAGTGGCAAGATCACAAAGAGCCAAAAGCAACAAAAGTCAGTATTAAAGATTGGATGCTAGGCAAATTAGCATACAGATAGAAACATCACATTGGTATGCTAATTATAAGGCAGAACAAGTTGAATACTCACATTACCAACAGCCAAAACACTGACATGCTTGGACGTCAACATGTCTGCTTGACAGTAACATGAGAATCTTAGCTTTTTTATTGTCAACAAAAAGGGTTTTCTGCAGTAGTAATCATCATCGTCCTTTTCTGCAGACATCTACAAAGCAAATCTTTCTAGAATTGCTTGAAAAGATGATTGTGTCTTTATCTGTGACTTTTGGAAACACATCAGTATATAGATTTAGCAGTTTCTGTTGGGTAGCTTGCCGTATTTCCAATGTATGAGAAAAGTGTTGTATGACCACAGTACAAAGCAGAAGTATTAACTAGTCTTAACTGACTAGTTTCTAACCTTTTAAGCTTGTAGCCCTTTACAGCCAAGACCTAGCTACTCACAGGTTGTATACGGTTGGTCTATGAGCTCTGAACTGTTTAACCTAAATTATGATAATTCCCATTTTCAGATTGTCTCGTTTTGATCATTTCTGAAGGGCCTGAAGATTTAAAAAACAAACAAAGATTTAATTTTAAAAGTGCATTCTTTAAACCAGGCTCTAGTATTCACTTCTCTACAATAACAGCGAGCTAGACAGCTTTCTGAAGTTAGAATATTCTTTTTTAAGTTGAAATTCACTAATATCAACTTATTGTCAGTGTTTCTAATCACTTTTTTTCAATAAAATCCTATATTATTCCATCCTTAATGTTAAGTAAATGTTAGACTTTCACAAGACTTGTAGAAGACTTTCACAAGCCCTGTCCTAATGTTGGACAAGCTGTTTATTTGGTGGCACATGCTTTACGTTTTGTGTAGCTCATTTTGTATTATCTTTTGAGATGAACTAAGTCAAGCCTGAGCTCAGGGGGTGTTGCAGACACGTACTGCATGTCAGGTTCAGGCCTGTCTGACGTGTAAAACGGCTGTATTGTGTTCCCCCTCAGCGTTTTCTCCAGTGTTTGTCATGTTTCAGATTGTGGGCAGTAGGCAGTGTAGAGTTCCTGCGGTGGAGCCAGGCAGCGTGCTGCAGGTTGTTTTCACCCAGCGGGCAGACAGAGCAGGCTGTGTGTCTGTTTGAGGGCCTGACATCTCAGCTGTCATTACCCTGTCACTGCTCTAATTAAATGGCTAGCTCGGCAGAGAGAGGCGTTTATATAGAATCCAGCGACAGGCTGCAGCACACGTACCACACACACACACACACACACACACACACACACACACACACACACAAAAGGCTTTCACTTCCATGTCTGACACCTTCTCCTGCCCTGAGGTACACAGTGTTGGCAGTTGCAGTGTTGAATTCCCATAGCTGCAGCGCCACTGGAGAGATCTGTGTCCTCACTGTGCTTGACTTTGTGAGGTGAAAACTAGCTGTTGCGTCCTTTTAAATTCCCTTAGATACAATAAGCGTAGCCTGAGTTCCCGGCTGCCCGCGGCAACAGACAGGAAATCACTTAGGAGGAACTTTTGGTGACGTGACTAGACATGGTAGTGCAAATTAAAGGTATATTGTTATTTTTAATGTATACCTTGTAGATTTAGACTGGGATAAGTTTGGGGTTTAGTTTGATGATGAACATGTGACTCCAATACTGTTCCGTTATCACTCCCAGCTCGTCCAATACAGTAGCTCGCTCAGTGGCCTTGTGCGTCAAACTATGACGCTCCACATACCTCTCTAGCATCTGTTTTTTTTATTTTAAGGCTTTGACTTGTGGGCCTTTTTAATAACTAATGACTTTTTTCCAAGATGGATTATGATGGATGGGTCAATCAAACACAGCACCTTCTTACAGGAGGCCGCTGTTACTATCCGGAGTGAAAGTAAAAATCAACGTTGACTTATTTAAACTTTGCTTAACATATTTACGTGCTTAAATATGTCACATACTGTACATAACGTAGCCATCTTAACTAGCTTAGTTACTAACTAACTTCTTAACTTAAGTTACGTAACAAACTTAGTTATTCTAACCCTAACAATTATCTTTTTCCAACACTTAAACAAGTGATTTGTTCCCTGAAACTAACCCAAACAAATCACACTTAACCTGCATAGCTTTTGTAATCTACTTAAAATATTGTGCTTTTTGTGGGTTTCCCTTTCCTGTAGTGTGTTATATAGGTTTTTGTGTAACATCGTAAAAATTGTAAAATCACAAAGTTCCCTTCAGAGGGAATTACTCTCCCGCACACTCCGTCCCGCCTGAAAGGCCTCCATTCGACTCTTATGTTTACTTCTGTAACATATGCGGCTTTCACACCAGCGCTTTTCCCGTTCTAGCTCCGTGCTAGAGCTTTTCTGGTTCAGCTCCGGTTTCCCTTTTCTGCTCCCGCTTTGTTCACACCGCCCAGAGCCCGACTGGTGCTGCCGCTGCTGCGTCATGACGTCACCGTTTACATCGCTGATTTGCTCCCCAACGGCGTTACGGAGCTCACAACAACAACAACAACAATGGGGGACTGCGTCGGGTCGATGATCGTGTTGCTTTTAATCACACGAAGCCAGATTAAATGAAATAACGACTTCTCCAACCTTATACTTTTCTCCAGAGTGCTGTGGTTCATTGTTTATTAATGTGTTTCAGCGGCATTTATCGACCACTGCAGTGCTGGCTGCTCTTCCACAGGAGTTTATTCTCCCGTTAGCTCCGGGTTAGCTAATACTTTAGAGCGGCCTCTCTAAAGTATTCACTGCCCGACTGTCACACAAGCAGCTGATATATATCCCCAGTTCCCCTTAAGTGAATGTGTGTCAGTCTGAATTGACGCTGTTTGGCATCACAACGCTGTTATTAAAGTGTCTCTGGTATAAAATGGGTGATGTTAGCATAGCAACCGAAGGTAAACTGACTACTTGCTATTGCTATCCTATTGTGGCATAAACCGTTTTCTACAGGCACATTTTACCGGTGTATTTTTCATTATGATTCTACTTGTGATAGTCGGACAGGACAACCTGTGCAGCCCATGTATTGATTCCATCCGATAGCTGCTATAATACAAAACAAAACGTCTGCCTCTCTCCACAATGATCAATAACAGTGAACGGATGGTCAAAGTAAGGTACAAATAAACAGAATCACACGAAGCCTGGTTAGTGTTGCCTGACTTTATAAAGTGTGTTTATAAGTACTACTGCTTGTAGGCAGGCATGACGAGACTCTTCAGTCGACCCATGTTCAGGGGAGGTGGGTTTAGTTTCCTGCACGCCTCGACGTAAGAGAGACGTAAGCGAAGCTCTTGCCTCGAGACCGACAATTTTTTGGAGCTGGAAGTGAACCGGATTCCGGAGCTAAGAGGCGGCGTCTCTGCGGTGTGAACAGGAAAAAACTGTACTCTTCAGGCTCCAGCTCCGAGCCGGAGCTGAAAACGCGTTGGTGTGAAAGGAGCATAGTGGCATCACTATGTTACACTACTGCTTCTATTGACTAGCAATCAAACATATTACGTGATTTGCTCAGGGGTGGGACATCTCTAAGCAGTTAACCAATCAAAACAGAGCTGGTCAGCTAACCAATCAGAGCAGACTGGGCTCTGGTTTCAGACAGAGGGTGAAAAGAGGTGCTGCAGGCAGTTTGCGAACAATAAAGAGCTTTTTGAACATTAAAGCATGGAGACACGTCACAGTGGAGAACCTGAAACTGTGCATAATAGGGCCCCTTTAAGTTGTGTAACGTTAGTCATGAGTCTTGGACGACATACCTGCAGTGAAACATTTTTGATTAAAGAGGAACAAAGGGTGTAAAAGTGTTCTGACCAAGTATCCTTGTATGAGAAGTTGTAATGGAGAATGTGTTGTCAGTTTGTTCTGTGTTGTTCTATTGCTTCCTGATGTGTTGTGAATTCCTGGTTGCAAGCTATAGGTTCTGAGATATTACAAGTGTACCAAACTGGAATGGATTAATTTTGTTATGTAATATTGCTAATAAAATAACAACTCTACATCAGTAACATCTTTCTCTTTGTTGTCTCTGCAGCAAACGGCTATTCTGAGCGTCCTGACTTTCTGCATAGAGCTGAGACACCTCAACCTAGGGAGCTGTGTGAGGGTAAGCACGTACACACACTCAAAAACCCACAGGGAGAAGTCCAAATAAAGCAGTCTGTTAATTACACAACACACCATGTGGCCTCGTTGGATAGCAGCTTATCCAAACGATGGCAGACACATCAGTACTGAGCAATAATTGAGATGCTAACAATTTTGGTTGGGTGCAAAATAGACAAAGCAATGGCAATTAACACTATTTAAGTGCAGCCTACAGTCAACCCTTGACTGGAAATGTTACTTAGGCCTCCCTTAAATGTGTACAAATTAAACATAACTTATTAAAGTAATTGCTTAACTAATTAAATTCAAACATTAGTTAAATGTACCCACACACTGGAAAACAATACCAGTTATTATTTACAGAAATGTACAGAAATAATGTAGCTAAATCAATAGCAATTTGTCGAAGGCTATAACCATCAGTTGGTTAGCTTAGTCTAAAGACTGCAATCTGGGAATAAATTAGCCTGAACCTCCCCAAAGATGAGAAACTCTGCCTACCAGCTCCTCTGAAGCTCACTAAGCAAAATATATGTATAAGCTCCAAAAAAAACAGAGGTGTAAGGCAAACATCATGGTTGTAAAATGAAACAAACTGGATTGTTAGAATTCTAGGGGGGCTGGTAGGTGTTTTGTTGGTAATATTTTTGCTCTTCTGGGACACGGACAGGCTATATGCTAAGCTACGTTTATAGGCTGGTGGCTGTGGCCTTATGTTTTCCAAGACGGATATGAGAGTATGAGAGTAGTCTTCTCATCTTATTCTCTGCCAGAAAGCTAATATTGCCAAACTATTTCTTAAATTATGTTATGAAGACGTCCACCGTGTTAATGGCACACACGATGCGGTATTCATACATAATGTGTATGTTGGCATTTCTTTTGTTTCATATATTCATAAGATTAACGGGTAAGACATTTTTAGTAAATGTTCCGTTTATCATGCTTATAAAACATATTTTCCGTATTTACTGACAGACTTATTTACCAACTCACCTGACATTTTACTGACTCACCCATCTACTTTGTGAACAGCTGATTTGTCATCCAAGTTCTGCATACTAAAGAACAATTATGATAAAGCAAATGAGAAAAGGTGAACGGAATGTCACATTTTGAGTACAGTTTCCACTTGTGATATACCTTAACGCTAACGTGTCATCATTAGTGAATAAGCTTTGCAACTTTTGGCAATGAAAATACAAAATGAAAGCAACTCTTTTAGCCAAAAGTAGAAATATCTCTCCACTTGCAGGCTTGTCATGACCATGGGTAAAGTTCCTGCACTGGCAGTTCAATTGCATATCTTTGCTTTCATCTTGTGATGAAAGGATGAAATATGACCAACATTAACTGACAACAAAGATAACAATAATAGCTTTGCCAACACAAATCAGTTCTTCTTTCTGGGCAAGGTGTTCTCTGTTAGTCCTTTGTTCTCTCTTGAGAACATCTGATTGTTTTCTTTAAAACAGCCTATGCAGCTAATCCGTGTTATTTTTCATGGTTTTCAACGTTTGCTCAAAATATAAAAGACAACTGGAAGATACTGACTCAATCATAACTCCATCCCATTTCTCACTTCTGTCCAATATCCTTAGTGACACAGTGTTCTTGTCCTGTACCCAACTCTCTCTCTTTTGTAGCTGACAGGGATCCAGCAGGCGTGTCTTAGCTGTTTCATTCGCGCTTGTCATTGTGTGACTGTCTCTCATGCCAATCACTTTGGAATGCTAACTTCAGGAATACTTGCTAACGGCATATGACTGAAAGTTTCCAGGTGGAACTAATCTTTTCGTAACTTTGGTTCAGCATTGGGTGTATCAATCTACACAAATGCATAAACTGTTACGGCCCTAGATCACGAATCATAACCTCTGAATCAATGATAACATTTTAGGAGGTTGCTGCAGAGTTCCATATTTTGAGGGTCCGTTTTTACGCATCAGAGAGACTGTTGCCCTGCAAACGGCAGTGGCTCAGTCAGTAGGGGCTTGAACTGGGAATCGTAGAGTCCCCGACCAGACCTAAAATATGGAGTGTGGACTACTTGGAGAGGTCCCAGTTCCCCTCCTGGGCTGCTCCTAGTAATAGGTTTGGTAAATGCAGAGGTCAAATCTCACTGTGTGTGCTGTGCTGTGTGCATGTGACAAAAATAAAGAGGGTTTCATCCTCCGGTTCTAATTCAAATATTGCACGCCGTAGAGAGCGTTTATAGTTGTTAAGGGCTGCCTTTTGCTCCTGCAGATCGATGACTATGACGTTGTGGCGAGCATGCTGGCTGCCCGCTGCTATTCACTCCGCTCTCTGGACCTGTGGCGCTGCAGGAACCTGACGGACCGAGGCCTGGCCGAGCTCGTGACCGGCTGCAGGTAAGCATTACACACTGTTTCAGTGCTGTAAACAACGAATGTCTTCTTGTCCAAACTGAGCAAAAAGAAAAGAATTAGGACCTGTATTCAGTGAACGTCTGAATGTGTGTGCCGAGTCACCCCAGTGCTGTCCTGATCCCTCAGGATGCTGGAGGAGCTGGACCTGGGCTGGTGTCCCACCCTGCAGAGCAGCACCGGATGTTTCCAGCACCTCGCCCGCAACTTGCCCCGCCTGCGCAAACTCTTCCTCACCGCCAACCGCACCGTCTGCGACTCAGACGTAGAGGAGCTGGCGGCCAGCTGCCCCTCCCTGCAGCACCTCGACATTCTGGGTAAGCTCTTAACTCACATATCTTTTCATTTAATTTAAGCTAATTTGTTCTTGTAAACTTAATTTGAAGCAGAGGAATATTAAGTGTGGGATGTGGTATAATGACCTCATGTTAACATTGTTGCTATTTTTAAGACGTGGACTTTATCATGACTTTGAACGTGTCAAAGGGGCACAGAACTATTTTTGCAATGGCACTTCATACGTAAATGTTACTGGATTTGTTTCCCCCTTGCCTTGAGTTGTTGTTGACCGCATTCATTAGTTTTTTGCACGGTCATAATAAAAGCATCACTTTACGTTGGACATGTCTGTGGTATATTTCGAGTTGTACTTGAGAATCTTTGAAAAAGTGTTAATTGCAAACGGAGTCCCCCAAAATAATTTTTTTTTCTGAAGTCTGATCTTTATTGTTTTCTCTTCTGTGTTTATGACTTAAGAACAGCTGGAAGAAAGATTATACCAAGAACATAAAAAGTGACTTCTTATTTTCATCTGTGAAAACAGGTGGGGGAAAAAACATTTCCCAGGTGAATGTGTTTGTTTGCGTTCATGTTTTCCTCCAGATTAGTTAACAAATATACACACACTCTAAACAAAGGTGCGTACACCTGGAAAAAAACAAAAAACGATTCACCTTCATAAAAGCACGGGAGAGAAAACAGACTTAAAAATCTGATTTAGAAGATGGATCACCAGATTTCTCACGTGCTTGTCAGAGATTCTGTACATATCACTTGTAGACAAAGTGAGCATTTATTTTGTATTTACTTGCTTTATCTCTTGAATGTAATTCTCTGCTCAACACTTGTTTTTGTTATGTTCTTCTAATATGACTGGTTTCAAATACAGGCACACGGTTGGTGAGTCCCGCCTCGCTTAAGAAGCTCCTCCAGGCTTGTCCTCGGCTCCTCCTGCTGGACTTGTCCTTCTGTTCCCAGATAGACATGCGGGTGGTCCAGGAGCTCTCCGGCCTCTTCCCCAACGTGGCCATCAAGAAGAGCTTCACTCAGTGACCCCCGCCGTGCCTCATTCTCCACAGTCCAGAGGAAGTAAAGCAGGAGCGTTCTCTGAAGCAAACACTGCCCCAAAGTGAATAAGAGGCAGGTCAGATGCTGTCAGAGATGACTGACCTCTCTGCGTCTGACAAGATCTTCTGTTAGCGCTCGGTAAACAGAGCAGTTGTACCGGGTGAGGAGTTCCTTCAGATTAACTGGCTGTACGGAAACGATTTCTCACAGGATTAACCAACGTGAGACTTTTGAGTTGTTATTTTTTTTGGACACTTGAAATCAGGGTTGTTGCAGTAAAGCTGCTTCTTCTTCCCAGAATCTGTATCACCACTTGCCAAGCAACAGAAGGCAAGGAAATATGCCTTGGTAGAGGATTCAAAACATGTGCCGTCCCTTGAACATCTTGTTAAGACAACAACAAGGGACAATAAACAAAAAGTGTGAAACAAACCCTTATTGGAAACAGTTGGAAAGGCTGCAGTAAGATTTAGCAGTTACGTATTTGTGTTGGATGGTAACCTACTTTAAGATCAGGGCTTTGTAATGTGCAGTAATCATGCTGTTTGCTTTAATGCATCATTCTGCAGGCATCTGTCAAGCCACTTTGATTTCATTATATTAGACTATACGTGATGCTGTTGGGTTCTAAGGTATCAGGAGCTTTACAGGCGAAACGCAGCCTTATTTCACATCGTTTGAATGGTGGAACCCTTAATGCAAGTGTCACAAGTTATTTTTGTTGCTGTAGAATCACAAATATCTCATGTTGAAAAGTAACACACCGTCACCGACAACATGATTAATCAAAAACATGCATGAGAACTTGAAAAAAGCAGTCAGCTAAATATTTATTTTTATTTTAAACACACGAAGAAGAAAAATAAAACACCCTTTGCAGGAAAAGACAAAAGCATTGAACACAAATTCACAGTCCAAAACCAAAAGATATGCTTACAAGGATATCAAATATAAATTAATACGAACAAAGATCCGACCAGGCCAAAGTTATTGGATTAATAATTGTTTATGCTTAGGTCAAGCAGATCATGCTTTTGCCATTTTTAGGGGAATACAGAGTTAGTTTTGTCTTCTGATATTTCACTAATTCACTGGATTCCCAATGCTGTCATGATGTCGCTAGCTTCCTGTCGTCTCTCACACTCACTGCTGTCTGACTGCTGATGTATCGACCAACCAAAATGAAGCTCCAGGATGGAAGGAGCACTGTAGACTAAGTTGAGGATTTTATGTTAAACAGTGAAAGCACTCTGTGTGACCTCCAGTATTTTTCCTGAAACTCAGGGGTTATAATATTTTATTTGGTTTTAATTTGTTTTACACACATTTTTCTCTGAAAACCAGCAGAACAGACATCCTAACAGACCGTAACGCCAGTTAGTCATCAGTGTTTCTCTTAAACAACAAACACACATGATGTAACTGAGTAACATGATATCTTATGTTGGGTTTGGAATGTCACAGTAATTGTACAGTATGATTGTGAGATATACTGCTGTCCCTGAGTATTTCATTTTTGTAATATATGAAGCCACAGTTGCAATGTGGCAGGCGTGCTTGAAAAGCATTTTATTATTTAATTTTTAAGTTGGAGTTTTCTTTTAAGCACATGCTTCAATATGTGTGCCTTATGCTCCTGTTTGAATGTGGTGTGGTGTCCCTGTGGTTACATTGTAATGAAACGCTTTGCTTTTATGCCCTTCAACCGAAGTAATACGCAGAAAGCTGGTCTTTAATCCCACTACTGTATATATGACCAGTTTGAATTCCATATAGGCTACTGTGTATCAGCCATGGTTATTAATATGCAAAAATAATGTTTATTTATACTTTCCTGTATTATAAAAGGTAATCAACATGTTATCCCTATATACAAAAATACAGTGCTTTTTTTCGTTTTTCCTAGCCAAGCTTACAAAAATCAGTTGTACCCCATTAGCCTAGCTTAGCATCAACACTCAAACATTGGAAGCGGAGGCAACCAAATTGTTAGCCTAGCACTGTCAAAAAAGGCTTTTCAACAAGACCAAAGTGGTCTTTTATCATATTTACAAAGAAATGCTAAAAGTTAAGAATGGTTAGCCTAAGAGCATTATTTCTCAAAGTACTGTGGAAGTGACTGCATCACAGAACTAATTTTCTTAATAATGGGCCCGAGCACACAGAATTCTACAGTAATCAAAACACAAAGATTAGGAGGGCTTTACCAAATGCGTCTTATTTTGGGGGGGTGGCAGGGAATTTGATAAACCTGAACTGTAAGCATTTGACATAGAACAAGGTTTTAAAGGCTAATTAAGATATTTTTTAAATTAATAACTTTGGATGTCTGTATCCAGCAGCACAAATTAGGTCAAAGAGGCATCAATAAATGTATTGTTTCTAACCAGTAGAGAGACGTCTTTTCGCTAAGCTACTGTAGGCTAACCATCCTCCAGATTGATCATTCGTATTACTATCAATTTACCTACTTTAATTATGGCTTAGCTGTGCAACCCAAACATGCCGAAATGTCGCTTGCATTTATGTTGAAATGTATATATATTTCAGTCTGAGTTGTGTTTAAACAAAATGGGGATGATAATGACGACACACCAGCCCTCCCATTCTATTAATGCTTATATCGTTGGTAAGAAGAAATCAGGAAGATGAAGATGGAAGCATGTTTCATATTATGGCAGCCACTTTCAGCAGCAGCATTTATTAGTTCATACAGACTCTGTTTTCACTCTCAGATGGCCACTGTTTGACCAATGAAGAAGTATGGTTCTAATACTCTTTCAGTTCCCTTCTTGGTAGTGGGATGGCCCTGATTTTCTGTGATTAATATACATCTCTCTTGTCCCACTGGTAGTGCGATGCTCCTTTGTGCCATTGGTTTGACGGACAGCGAAGCTCCCTGTGCTGCATTGTGGAAGACACTGTTGTGTGAAAAGATTGTGCCTCTGTCATGATGAAACTGGGTGCTTGACTTTCACCAGATTTGAAATAAACTAAAAGAATGATGACTGATAAAGTGTGGCTCTTTTTAATTCCCACATGCAAAAAAATAACATAGTTTAGTATGTCGAACATATGAAAATAACGACATAGAATAGTAAATCAAAAACATGGAAAAAGACGACATAGTAAAGTCATAGATTGTAATCCTCTTGGCTCCAGCACCTCATAATGCAAGTGCATGTGTGCACCTCTCTGTATTCCAATGCATGTGTGTGTGTTTTTTTTCCTTTTTTCAATATACTATACTTTTTAGTTCTTTGCAATTTTCGACATTCTATACTATGTCGAAAAAATATAGTATTTTCAACATGCTGTAACGGACTGGTTATAATGCTGATGGTATTGAGCTGAATACAGCAGAGACGGCCTGGGTGGAAAAATTGACACAGCTTGTGCGTGCCACCACGCTGAGAGAGGAGCAGTCTCCGAGACCCCGCCAGAGGATCTGCTGGGGGTGTGGACAGCCTGGCCATCTGGTTCGAGCAGGGGCGGACCTAGCACATTTGGTGCCCTAGGCGAGCTTCACCACTGCGCCCCCCCCAAAAAAAATATCAAAACATCTTAACAGTTATACAGTAAAGTACTGCAGCTTTATTTATTACAAGCAAGAACAAGAGCTAAGAATAAATGTAAAGTGCACACTAAAGAATTAAAACAAATAAACAACTTAGCTAACAAACAATAATAATATCAATAACAAACAATAAAAGAATGTGCAAATTTGCTTTCAAAGAAAATTAAGAAGAAATGTAAAGTGCACACTAAAGAATTAAAACAAACAACTTAGCTAACAAACAATAATAATAATAACAATAACAAACAATAAAATAACGTGCACATTTGCTTTAAAAGAAAATTATGTATTGTAAAATATGTTACACATGTCAAATAATCAAAATATAATATGCTAAATAAACAAACAAATACATAAAAATTACAAATTCACTTTGTCTCAAGAACTATTTACATTCCACTCCCTATCATCACACAAGGTTGGCCTACATATTAGCTCCTACTGGTTTCCATTTACAGTGCAATCCTTCTGGCCTTCCTCGCTGCAAAGTCATCAATCACATCATCATATGAAATCTGACCACCAACCTCATGGT